ACACACACACACACACACACACACACACACACACACACACACACACACACACACACACACACACACACACACACACACACACAGAGGAAGTTATCGGAGTATGTGTGTGGGCAGAGCAAAATGGAAGAACATTTAATATTTATATTGATGCAAACATACTGATTGAAACTCTTAATTATGAAACTTGAAGCTTACAAACTTTGCATTTGAAGTTTGTAAATGATGTTGCAATGTGGTTTCCTAAAACACCAGAGATACTCCTGGATCAATATGAGCATCACACATGGGTTAAACATCTAGTCAGTAAGAGAGTGGCAGTGTGTGTGTGGTCTGTAGAGATGTGTTTATGTGGGAGTGAGGCAAGTGTTACCCACATGTACTCTATGGTGCCACAGAAGGTATGTGTGACACTTCCATCATGAATGGATTCCTTACAGAGGCCAAAGTCAGTTAGCTTGATGTGTCCTTCAAAAAGAGAAGAAAACATATAGAAGTAAAACTATCCATGTTAATGTGTAAGGCACAATTTAGAAGTAAGAGGAAATGACACTATCACAAAATGATGATCAACAACGACGCAGAGGGGGAACAGGAAACAACACAAAGCAACCACACGGTGTTACATGCATTGGGGCACTTAAAGAAGCAGCGTGTAGGATTTAGTGGCATCTAACAGCAGAGGTGCTAATAGATGTCCCTGAAACCTACACACTGGTCCTTTAAGGTCTATATATAGTGCTGTATAATGAGGGTTTGAGGTCACAGCTGAAACACACAAGCTTCAATCCATTATCATTCAGAGATAAAATCAGCAACATGATCACTATTTATTTATTGGATGTCAGATTGTGCACAAAAACAATCACAGACTACACATGAATTCTGACAGCCAAAAATGTCAACGCCCGCTTCCTACTCAGATATATGCACGACCATTCTGCATCTAAAGACAACCTGGAAGTGAATTGATTTGTATTGATCACATTTATTAACATACGGTGTGTTACCTTGGTGATTAAGCATGATGTTTTCAGGTTTGAGGTCTCGGTAAATAATCCCGTTAGAGTGGAGGTGACCGAGGGCCAATGTGATCTCTCCTAGATAGAAACTTCAAACAGCCAGAAATGATTTGAGTCCATGTGGTAACAGAGGGAGGATGATCTTCTCAATTGCAAAAGTGGGACAAGGAATAATGTACCAACTAAGTAGGAATGAACAAATGTGTCGTTATCATGCTGAAGTTTTATGTAGAGATGCACCCATCGATCGGCCACCCGTAAAAACCAGCCAGTTGTCAGCTGATCGCCCATGACCATAAAGTGGCCAATCATATTTGCCTGTATTTTTTGAGAGTCAAATTTGATGATGATGGTTTTAAGTCACGCAGACAGCAGCACAGACAGCAGCACTGACAGTAACGTCAGAGACGGTAACGTCGCAGGCAAACCCTCGTCTCCGTTGCTTGAGTCAGAGCACACGAGGGGCTTGGGCCGATAGAGCTGGGTGGACCCTCCACAGACAGGACAGGCTGCAGCCTCAAAACACCACCATTTTTAAGGAGAGAACTTTGTGCACCGACCACACATAGCGTAAAAACAACACTCGTGGAGTCGGCATGAAACTATTTTGTTCGAAAAATGGTGTGTACAATTATGGTTGTGTATGCAGTCAATTACAGTTAAAAAAAAAAATCTAAATCAGCAGGTCAGAAAAAAACGGAAATCGGCCAAGAAAATACAATTGGTGCATCTCTAATTGTATGCTGTAATTTGCAGATTGTGCTGGTTTACTCAGGAGTATGTATCCTTACCAAGCAGTGTCCTCCATGAAGATGCCTTCCTTCTCTAGCTGCATGAACAGCTCCCCTCCTGGTGATAAACAACAGTACAGATGGATCAGTGTCATTAGAGAACCTTCCTCCCATCCAATCCTTCATTCATCCCTCTTGTTCTTCCTCCACCTCGCCCATGTCTAACACTTCAAACCACCGTATGGCCATAAAATGAAGTGATCTCCTGAGGTATATATATTCACTAACTTTGGTCCATGGCATCTGTCTCCACCCCCCCCCCCGTTTTTACCCTCCACATCCATCAGGTCAGCCTGTCTTACCACTCAGACACTCCAGTATGAGGTAGAGTTTTCCCCCAGTCTGGAAGGCGTAGAGCAGATCCACGATGAATGGGTGTCTCACCGTCTCCAGGATCTCCCGCTCTGCTCGTGTATGGGCCGTGTCTTTAGCATTACATACTATCTTCGCCTAAAGACAAACGAACAAGACAAGTGAGCATAGTACGGTGTCAAAAGAGGCAAGGTGGAGAGATAGAAAGAGATGAACAAGGACAGAGAGGACGACAAACAAGGGAAGGGGAGAGAGCAACAATTTCCGGAAACCAACAGTTGTCTTAAGAAGGAACGTTTGTGGGCTGGGACAAAATACCTTTTTCAGAACTTTCATGGCAAATATGTTTCCCATCTGAGCACCTTGAACCTTCCTCACCTGGAAAACCTGAAAAATAAGATATGTTGCCTTAATGTGAATATCAATCAATCAATTTTATTGTCTCACGTAGTGTGTGGAGAGAATTCTGGAGATCCATTCTCCTAGTCTGGTCTAAATAGTTTTCTGTACTGTGTTTATGACTTAAGAACAGGTGAAGAAAGACGTTCTGCCAGGATCTCACCCCATGTTCGAAATAGGACTTAAAGCATTCATGTGTTCTTCCTACGAAGTATTCATTTCTACATATACATATATAGTGTGTGTTAGCAAGTGTATAGTCTTATTTAGAACATGGGGTAGTGATGCTCTTCCGAAGGGCCGTATGAAATCCATTTCATTTTTTTCCAGATTCTGTTTTTTTTCCTCCACAAAATTCTGTGTCTTCTGTTTTAATTAACTGAATTCTGTTTTACAATTCAAGCATATTTTCTCATCAGAAAAAGTGTCTAATCAACAAATAAAGTAAAATAAAGTGCTTCAAATAGCTATTAGTGTCAAATTGCTGGTTTTTGTATATCTAACAGCCGAGCCCTCCCCCAAGTTTCCCCTCAAGGGATGCACCAATACCACTTTCTTTTCAGACCAAGTACTTACATTTGAGTACTTGCCAATACCATTAAAGTTCTTAAAATACCTTAGAAAACATGTTTTATTTTCATTAGATGTTCCTCACTTTGTGAACATTTTTAAATGATTTAATTTATTATTATTTAATTAAATATATAAAAGCTGTTGCTGACATTTTAACATTCAACTGTGTTTTCCTGATACAAACAGATGCTTGTGTCTCAAAACATCAGCAGTTGTTTTCTGATCATTCGGCTTAGGTGTTGTGAAAAAAACACTTACAATGGAAGAGAAAACACGGATTTTCATCAATTGCATACACATTTTGGCAAATTCTACGATATTCTGCCTTTTACAGCCCATTCCATTTTTATCATCAGATTCCGGGATCGCGTCCGTGTTTTCTACATCGTGAAATCATAGGGCCCTACACTTCAGCCAAAATCAATATTACAACAGACAAGGATCAAGAAAAATTATCCTGACCAAAACAAATGGCAAAAATCAAAAAACTAATTTACCGATTTCACAGATGAAACACAGATGTGCCTGTAAAAAACACACGCGCGCGCACACACACACACACACACACACACACACACACACACACACACACACACACACACAC